CGGTGGCAAGGCCTACCTGCTGGGTTGTGCGCTGGCATCGCAGGGCGTGTATTCTCTGTGGATCTTGGGCCTCTGTGGCTGGGCACACTCGGCCAGACTGGGGATGGAGTTGGGTGGCGGTGGTGAGGCCTGCCTGCTGGGTCATGCAATGGCCCTGCAGGGCACATGGTCTCCGCAGATCTTTGGCTGCTCTGGCTAGGCACCCTCTGATCGGCACGCACTCAGCGGGGCTGGGGATGGAGTCCTACTTAGGTATTTTTTTTTTTTTTTTTAAAGATGACCGGTAAGGGGATCTCAACCCTTGGCTTGGTGTTGTCAGCACCACGCTCAGCCAGTGAGCAAACCGGCCATCCCTATATAGGATCCGAACCCGTGGCCTTGGTGTTATCAGCACCGCACTCTACCGAGTGAGCCACGGGCCGTCCTCCACTTAGATATTTTTTAAAAAACAATTTTATTGAGGTATCATGACAATGAACTGCACAAATTTTCATTGTACACCCATAACCAACATCTTAATCAAGATATTGAACATATCCATTAGCCCCCAAAATTTCCTCCATGCCCCTTGGTAATTCTTCCCTCCTGCCTCTCCTCATGCCATCCTATCCCCAGGCAACCACTGATCTGCTTTCTGTCATTGGAGATGAGTTTGCATTTTCTAACATTTTGTATGAATGGAATAATACATTATGTACTCTTTTTTTGGTCTGGATTCTTTTACATAGAGATTATTATTTTGAAATTCATTGATGTTATTATATCTATCAATAGTTGATTCTGTTTTTATTGCCAAATAGTATTCCATTGTGTGAATATAGTAGTCTTCTCTTATCCTCTGGGGGTACATTCCAGGTTCCCCAGTGGATACTTGAAACCACGGCTAGTACCCAACCCTATATGTACTATGTTTTTTTCCATACATGCATACCTATGATAAAGTTAAATTTATAATTTAGGTACAGTAAGAGATTAACAATAATAACTAATAATAAAATAGAATTATAATAATATACTGTAATAAAAGGTTTTTTTTTTTTAAATAGATGACCGGTAAGGGGATCTTAACCCTTGACTAGGTGTTGTCAGCACCATGCTCACTCAGTGAGCTAACCAGCCATCCCTATATGGAATCCGAACCTGTGGCCTTGGTGTTATTAGCACCACACTCTCCTGAGTGAGCCACGGGCCGGCCCAATTTGCAGTTTTCTAATGATCATTGATGTTGAGCATCTTTTTATGTGATTATTTGCTATCCATATGTGAGGGGTCTTCAGAAAGTTCATGGAAATATCATATGAACTTTTTTTTTAAAAAAGATGATTGGTAAGGGGATCTTAACCCTTGACTTGGTGTTGTCACCACCACGCTTTCCCAAGTGAGCTAACCGGCCATCCCTATACAGGGATCAGAACCCTTGGCTTTGGTGTTATCAGCACCACACTCTCCCAAGTGAGCCATGGGCCTGCCCTTTGTATGAACTTTTAATTCCATTTTTCCACGAACCTTTTGAAGCACCATTGTATCTTTGGTGAAGTTTCTGTTCAGATCTTTTGGCCTTTAAAAAAACTGGGTTGTTTTCTTACTGTTGAGTTTGAGAGTTCTTTGTATATTCTGGATACAAGCACTTTTTCACATATGTGATCTGCAGATTTTTCTTCTTCTCTGTGGCTTATTCTGTTATTCTCTTAACAGTGTCTTTCAAAGAGTTCTTAATTTTGATGAAGCTGAATTTATTAATTTTTCTTTCTTGGATTATGCTTTTGGTGTGGTATCTAAGAAATCTTTAGCTAACCTAGGGTTACAAAAATTTTCTTCTATGTTTTCTTCTAGAAGCATTATAGTCTTAAGTTTTACGTTTAGGTATATGGTTCATTTTAAGTTAATTTTTGCATATGGTGCAAGGTATGGATCCAACTTCATTTTTTCATATATAGGTATCAAATTGTTTCAGCCTTGTTTCACCACTATCAAAAATCATTTGTTCATATTTGTGTGGTTCTATTTCTGTGCTCTTTATTCTGTTCCACTGATCTATTTGTCATAATGTTAATACCATACTGTCTTGATTGCTATAGCCTTGTAAGTCTTGATATTAGTGGTGTTAATCCTCACATTTTGTTCTTTTTTAGGTTATTTTGATTATTCTAAGTTCTTTGCATTTCCATATGATTTTAGAATCAGCTTGTCAATTTCTACCAAGAGGGCTGCTGGGATTTGGATTGGAACTTCATTTAATCTTTAGATCAATTTGGGGATAATCATGATCTTAATATTGCATATTGTAACTCATGAACATGATGTATTTCTCCATTTATTTTGGGCCCTCTTGAATCTGTCTCAGCAATATTCTGTAGTTTTTTGTATATGAGTCTCAGACACTTTTTCAAATCAGTTTTATCCCCATGTATTTCATATATTTTGATGCTATTGTATATGGTATTTTTTTTTTTTTTTTTTTAAAGATGACCGGTAAGGGGATCTCAACCCTTGGCTTGGTGTTGTCAGCACCACGCTCAGCCAGTGAGCAAACCGGCCATCCCTATATAGGATCCGAACCCGCGGCCTTGGTGTTATCAGCACCACACTCTACTGAGTGAGCCACGGGCCGGCCCTGTATATGGTATTTTAAAAGTTTTGGTTTCTGATTGTTAGCTGCTAGCATATAGAAATATAGTTGATTTTGGTATATTGATCTTGAATTCTCCAACTTTGCTAAACTCACTTATTAGTTCTAGTAGCTTTATTACAGATTTTGTTGAATTGTCTATATAAATGGTCATGTTATCTCCTTATAAAGACAGATCTACTTTTCCTTTCTAATCTGGATCTTTTATTTCTTTTTCCCCTTATTTCATGTGTTAGAACCTCTAATACAGTGTTGAATAGAAATGATGAGAGTAGTGGATGTCCTTTCTTTGTTCTTCATCTCATGGGAAAAGTATTTAGTCTTTCTCCATTATGTATGACATTAACTGTAGTTTATATCAGGTTGAGGAAATTCTCTTCTATGCCCAGTTTGGTGAGACTTTTTTTTTAAAAAAAAATAAAGAATAGGTGTTGGATTTTTCAAATACTTTTTCTGCATCTACTGAGATGATCATGAGCTAAATCTGGTTTGCTGCCTGTTTTTGGTGGTTTTATTGGAACACAGCCATAAGCCATTTGTTTATGTATTGTCTGTGGCTATTTTTGTGCTACAGTGGCAGAGTTGAATAGTTGGAAAGTAAATGGTGTGGCCCACAGAGCTTAAACTATTTATTTATTTATTTAAAAGATGACTGGTGAGGGGATCTTAACCCTTGACTTGGTGTTGTCAGTACTACGCTCAACCAGTGAGCAAACCGGACATCCCTATATGGGATCCGAACCTGTGGCATTGGTGTTATTAGTACCACACTCTCCCGAGTGAGCCATGGGCCAGCCCTTAAAATATTTATTAACTGGCTTTTTGCAGAAAGTTTGCTAACCTCTGATCTAAGTTTTCAACTTTCTTGGCATAAAGTTGTTTATAATATTTCTTTATTATCCTTTTTAATATCTATAGAATCTGTAGTGATGTTACTTTTCTCATTTCTGACATTTGTCATTTTTATTTCATTAATTCTGCTCTGATCTTAATTATTTCCTTTTTTCTGTTTACATTAGGTTTCATTTGCTGTTCCTTTTCTTGTTTCTTAAGGTGGAAGCTGAGGTTATTGTTTTGAGAAGTTTCTCCTTTTCTAATATAGATGTTTAGTGATCTGAATTTCTCTATAAGTACTACTTTAATGGCATCCCACAAATTTTGATATGTTGTGTTTTAACAGAGGAATGGTATCAGGGAAGTTTTCAAAGGTACTAGTAATCTTTTTTTTAAGCTGGGTGGTAGGTACATTTGTACATTTGTTTATTTGTACATTTGTTGTTTGTCCTTTACATATATAAATAATCTTTTGAGTGTATTATGTATTTAACAAGGAACTTTTTAAAAAGTGTGAATGGGAGATAAGGATGTAATCACCTTGTAAGTAAACAACTCTTTGAGCAATTATATTATGAAGTAAAGCAGAGAAAGGGGGTAGTAATTTTAAAATCATGGGAGATAACAGGAGAGATTATTTTTGTATATTTTGCTTTAAACATGGGTGAGTCTAAAGCAAGTTTGCTGATTCAAGAAAGAGTCATAAGCTTTATAAACCATATAAGCAGATGTGAGAGTCATATCGTGATGTGAAAATTGATGTGCTTAACTGGAGCTCTTGACTTAGAGTAATTAGACCACCTACATTTCTTTTCAGATAGCAGTTTGAGTTTTGCTCTAGTATAGGAAACAAGTACTTCATTGAGTCCCAAGAATTCCATACCAAAATTGTGGCCAAATTATCTTGGCCTAGGGCCGGCCCGGTGGCGCACTGCTACATTGCGCCGCTTGAGAGTGTGGCGGCACTCCCGCCGAGGGTTTAGATCCCACATACAGACCGGCCGCTCACTGGCTGAGCGAGGTGCGGGAGCAACACCGAGGGTTGCGATCCCGTTGCCGGTCCCAGTCCGGTACGGGCGCAACACTGAGGGTTGCGATCCGTTGCCGGTCACGAAAAAAAGACAAAAAGGAAAAAACAAACAAACAAACAAATTATCTTGGCCTAAAATATTTTCAAATTAGATATTATAATCAGTTACCTGACACTTTAAATTATAAATAACTACTTCTTAAATGTCATCATAAAAGAGTAAGATAAAGGTGAAAGAAATGTCTACTGTTATTTGCCAGAGGATAAACAATGAATAAAAGGTTTCTAGCCAGTTATCTGTAGCTTACTTAATTATTTAATGGCATATAACCTCAGGATGCCTCATAAGACAACTGAGTAATTACTGAGCTGGGCATTTAAAAAAAAATTTCAGTATCTATTTAAATACATTTTAGAGGTAGGCAAGATAATAGAATACACTTGAATAGCTAATTGCTTTTTTCTCTGCATGGCATGTGCTTGCCAATCATTTTTTGTCCTCCCATGGGTTGTGTGGTTCCAGGGGCTGGTGCAGTTGAAATAGCAATAGCTGAAGCTCCTGTTAGGTACAAGCACAGTCTAAAAGGAAGAGCTCATCTTGGAGCCCAGGCTTTTGCTGATGCCTTACTCATTATTCCCAAGGTACGGCTATCCTAATAGCCAAATAACAAGTGGCTAGACATAAAGGTGTTTAAGTGCAAATTGCCAAGAATAGAAAGACAGGTAATTATTGGCATTTCCTCATGCGGTTTTCTCTTAGATATTTTACAACTAAAGCAGGGAAACTTTTGGGATAACAGCTCAGAATCCTTGTAGAACCTTCATGAAATGGTCAAATTACCCCCTTGCTTCCTTTTCTGAGCTCCAAAAGTTGAAGTAGATCCAAAAGTTTCTTTCAGAAGTGGTTCATAATAAAAAAGTTTAGAACTTAAAATTTAATTCTATTTTACAGTAGGTCTTTACTTTGTTGGTGGTATCGAAACTGCCATCACTTTATTTTGTGGAAAGTGAGGATTTGGGGCTGTTTAGTATTCTCCAATACTAGCTTGCATTTGTCATTGTCAAATATAATTCTAGAAAAGGAGAGAAACCAGATTTTTTACATTTATTTTGGCGATGTAGGGACAGAGAAATACCAGTTCTTTCTCTTTGCCTTAATTTGGTTATGACAACTTAGAAACACAGAAAACTACTTCAAATATGCTGTTACCATGAGTGAAATCATCGCTAACAATGCCAGCAAAGTCTTCCTGAAAATTGCTGTTAAAATTATCCATAATTTGTAGAATCTTTGCGAATCAGATATCTATTTTTTTCTTCCCCCAAAGCAGCGAAGTCAGTAAGCAATGATCCTGTTGTTGACACAAATTGGTAACCCCACTGTACATTGATGGTACCTTTTTCCTCATGGTTGTGGAAATCAGCTGGTGGTTTGGCATCACTTGGAAGTGAGCCTGGTTTGGAGTGCATCCCTGTTGCCACAGATCATGAGTTTCCTCATAAAGATGAGGGGCACAAAGGTCCTGCAAGTATGCTGGCTTTCTTCATCAAGTGCCTAGGAAAAACTGGAGGATGTGTAGCTAGAGGGACTAGAGGAAACAAGAATACTATTCTATTTCCTTCCACATTAAGAAAAAAATCTTTTGTATGGAGGGAAATTAATGTAGTGAGGTGGGAGTGGGGGAACTCTAATGTCCTCATAATTTAGTTTGATGTGCATAAGGGAAATGTATAAGTAAATATAAAAACTACTAGATCGATAAAATAATACTTTAATTTAGATTAAGAATGAAATCTTTCAAAAGGAGATGATGGCATATTATGGAGTGCTTTATTTCTATATTTGATATTCAAGTGTATGTTTGAAAGCATTCCAAAGACATATTTATTATTTTTTTAAATTCATAAAGGTTCTTGCTCAGAATTCTGGTTATGACCTCAAGAAACACTAGTAAAAGTTCAAGCTGACATTCAGAATCAAAACAACTTGTTGGCATAGATTTGAAAGCAGGTAAGAAAATGAAGAAAAATTAGCGGCTTAATAAAGAAGGAGGCTATTCTTCAGTGATCCAAGTCTTATCGTAAGAGGGTAGAAGTTTGAGTGGCTTTAATATTTAAATTTTGAGTGACTTTAGTTTACTTTTACACTTCTTAAGAGATAATATTTATTATTTGCTTCTCAGAATTCACACAGAACAAAACAAACACAAATACCTGCCCTTGGGAGCTTATATTGTAGTGGGGGAAAGCAGGGAGTAAATAATAATCTTAGTAAACAAGTTATTTAGCATTTTAGAAAGTAATACATTCTTTGAAAAAATTAAAAGAGCAGTTTATGGATGATCATGAGTGCTAGTACAGGAGGGTGGGGAGGGGGTTGCAATTTAAAGAGATTGATCAGGGTGGGCCTCAATGAGAAGATTTCTGTTGAAAACAGTGAAGGAAGTGAGGAAGTTAGCCATGTGGGAACTGGGGATAAGTGTTCCAGGGAGAGGAAATGGCTGGTGCAAAAGCCAGTGTCTGATGTTTTTGAGGAGGAGAAAGAAGGTGAGAGAGTTGATAGAAGGTGAGATCATGCAGGGGCACGTAGGCCAGTCTAAGGACTTTGGTTTTTAGTGTAATAGAATAGGGAGCACTTTTGAACAGAGGTGTGACCTTGTCTAATTATGTTTGAAAGGATCACTCTTGCTACTTTCCACTCTGTGGAGAGGAGTTAATTGAACAGCTAGATGGTCGGAATTGCCATTAACTGCACTGGAGAAGAATGTATGTAGAGCAGGTTGTGGGCGAGGGGACATCAGCATTCAGTTTTGGCAGAGACAAGTTTGAAGTGTCTGTAGTCTTTCAAGTAAAGTAGTCAGTTGGAGATATGGAGCCAAAGCTCAAGAAAGAGGTCTGGATTGGAGATAAAAACTTGAGAGTCGTCAGGGTGTATATGGTTTAAATCTAGAAGGCTGGATAAAATCACCTAGGGAGTAAGTGTAGAGAGAAAAGAGTAGGACCTAGGACTGAACCTTTGGGTACTCTAACATTAAGAGCTCAGGGAGGAAAAGGAGGAACCAGCAAAGTAAACAGAAAAAGAGCCACTAGTGCAAAAGAAAGAAAACCAGGGGAGTATGGTGTCCTGGAAGACAAGTGAAGAAAGAATAGCCAGGAGGGTGTGATCAACTGTGTTAAGTGCTTCTCATAGATGAAGCCTGAGAATCAACCGTTGGATTTAACAGCATAAAGGTCATTGATGACCTTGGCAAAAGTACTTTTGGTAGTATACTAAATATTATTAGACTATACTAATCAATATTAATAGAATATATCAAGATTGTAGTATTAAAATGGTTTTTGCAGGTGAGCCAATGGTAGCCGCAGATGCAGGAATTTGGGATAATTATTGTGTGAAAAAACAACTTCACTCTTAGTAAGTTTGCACTAACATAAAGAGAAAGGTTTTAGGAGTATAATTGATCACATTCAATTTTTCTATTATTTTTGTAACCCTACAGTGGAAAATTTCTCACATATGAGATGGTATGTATCCAGTTAAGACTACCATCTGTCAATTTACAGTCCCTTCTATATTTTAGTTCTAGCACTTTAAGTTATAGGAAAGGTTAATCTTATTGTTTTTTTGAGGGAAAAGGGAAAGAGGAAATTTTACTGAAATAGTACCAGATACATAGTATGGAAAATCATATGATGTGCTAAAAATGAGCTCGGTTTTGCTGGAATATGAATCAGGCTTCCACCTTATCAGCAAAGGTGTTCAAACAATACAGAAGGTGATGTTTGTATTTAGAGTAGTTTTGTCTCATAAAATCTCACACTAACATCATTGAAGAGCAATAAGTTGAGTATTGTAAATCAATGCAACACAAAGTTATACTCACACTAGCTGAAGATTGCTGGGGGCAGGGGAGTTTGGGTGAAAGATAAGGGTGGACTACTAGGCTTTACTACCTTCTCATCTTTTTCTTTAGCACTGTGATTGCCACCAACATTCTCCTGGTTGATGAAATTATGCGAGCTGTGATGTCTTCTCTGAAAGGGTGATTGAATTCAAAATCAACTCTTCTGGATGATGGGATTTAGTACACCTTACATCCAACTACTGTTGTATAGCCTGAGCCATTCTTAATTTTTACACAATAAATGCAGTTTATATCTTTTGGTCTTAACAGTTTCAAGAATATTTCACCAAAGTATAAGGAAATCAAATATTTTCACAGTAAAGTAATAATAATGAAATATTTTCCCTAAGAGCTCTAATTCCCCACCCTTTATTGTATGCTATTACAGTTTTTATAAAATAGAATCTGTTAGAGTTCTTAGCCTTTTGAAGCAACTTATAACTAACAAAATAAGGAGCACAGGTTTTGGAGCACTCAAGTTAATTTCCACCTTAACAGAGGGTATAAATTTAGTAGGACGAAATGTTTTGTTTCCTCTCAAAATTCCTTCAGTAGTTCCTTGCTGCCACTCTTTCGTCTTATAAATATGGCATCACTTTAGTGAGTATAGTATAGTGCGAGTATAGTTTTGTGTTGCATTGATTTACAATACTCAATTTATTTTATATATAGTTTATTATGTTTTACCTGGCTCTTTTGCAACTTATGCTACTGTGCTAGCTCTTGTAGCTCTCTGACTAGATGGTAAGATAGAACAGGTCTCATCTGGGAAAGTGGGGATCGTTGGCACCAGTGCAAGGAATATAGTTGTTTTGGGGTTCAAATGCAATTGTTTTGTATAGGTATTATAGCAATATCTTTCCTGTTTGAAAGGCTAGGATTAACTTATTTTACTTTTTATTATTATTAGGCTTCTTGTGGTTAATTTCTTTCCACGGGTGCAAGTTGGTAAGAGATTAAAATATGGCAGATGCATTAATGGAACTTCAGCCTATTTGTGCATAGAATTTAAGAAGGTTCCTTTAACCGTTTAATGCCTTAATTTAAAGCCTACAATTTTATAGCCTGTTTTTTCCACTTAATATGTTGTCAACATCTTTCAAAGTCAATAATAACACTTCTAAACTATTATTTATTTATGGTTATATGACATTTCATTGTATGGCTGTACTGAAATTTATTTTACTAATTCTGTTTTTAATTTTTTTCCATTATAAACAAAGAGCTCCTTTTTAAGTTTCTGTCTTTATTCTATATGTAGGCCTTTTAAAATGGGCATACTGTGCACACTGACAGATCTTTTCTTTGTACAATGTTTGAATTATGAAATGCTTTAAATATACCAGAAAGACAGAAAATGATATAATAAACACCTTTGTACCCATTACCTAGCTTTAACAAATAGTAACATTTTGCCATGTTTGCTTCAGCTTTTGTTTAAAGAAATGCAAAAGTACAGATGTTAAAGTGCCACCTTCCCTCACCCAGTCCCCATCATATGCTTTTCCTACCCATTCTCCCTAGGGGTAGTCTTTGATTCCTATGTTCCCCCCCTTTTTTTTACTTTTAATATATGCATATACCTGTGACAATGTAAATTCGTTTGAGTTTTAAAAATGTATAAATAGTATCATTCTGTAGATACACTTTTGCTGCTTTTATTTCCCACTTAATGTTTTTGAGATTTATCCATTTATTCATTTTAGCAGTTATAGAATATTCTAGTGTATTTCTATACTACAATGTATTTATCCATTGGTGGCCCTTTTTGGTGTATGTGATTTTACATCATTTTAAACACCTCTGTGATAAATTTCTTTATATGTGTTTCCTTGGGCACGTATGTGAGAGTGTTTCTAGGAATTATAACCTAAAAATGGAATTGCTGGGGTTTAGGGCTCCTCATCTTTATATTTACTACATAATTATACCAGTTTATATTCTCCCCTGCAATTTATATAGTTCCCACGTCCTTACAACCTTGCCAAGTCAGTATTTTTAAACTTAATTTTTGCCAATCTGAAGGGTTTAGAATTATGTCTCATTTTAATAGCAGTTGCCTTGATGACTGGTGAAATTGAACATAGTTTCATACATCTTTGGCCATTTCCAGTTCGGTAAAATTGCCTGTTCATATTGTTGCCCACATTTTTCATTGGATTTTTTGTCTTTCCAATTGGTGTGAAATGTAAAGGTATAGATATATAGATGTATTATCTCATATATATGAGATATTCTCACATATATTCTTCTCTACTTCTAGAAATTGTTCCCTATTTCAATAATGAAGATATTTTCTTATTTTATGGGTTTAAAGTTTTTTTTAAATTAACAAAACTTTTATAGCAGTTTTTGTTTTACAGAGAAATTGAGCAGAAAGCACAGATAGTTCCTATACCCTCCTTCCATCCTCATGTACAGTTTCTTTTGTTATTAACATGTTACATTAGTGTGGTACATTTGTCACAATTATGAATCAGTATTGATATTGTTAATTTTATATTAGGGATTGATCACAGTTTATTTGGATTTGTTTCTGGTTTAAATATTTTGTTTCATTGTTTTGGGGTGTTGTCATTACATCAATACCAAACTGTTTTAATTCTTAAAATTATAAGAAGTCTTGAAAACTGGTAGGGGGAGGCCTCCTACTCTCATCTCTTCTTTATTTTCTTCAAAATTGTTTTGGCTATTTCTGCATCTGATCTTTTCCCTCTTCCATATGAATTTTACAGTCTGCTTATTGAGTTATCTGTTTTAATTGAAATTGCAATGGTTTAATAGGTTATTTCAGGTAGAATTGTCATCTCATAAATATTTTATGTCACTTCATTTATATCTTTCTAAGTGCTTTAGTTTATTAGTAAATGTTCTGTTTTTAATAAAATTTTAAATGACTTCAATAAAAATGCATTTATCTTTGGTCGGATTTATTCCTATGTATCCTGTTTTAGAAGTTTTATGAATAGGATTATTTATAAATGTTGTATTTTTAATGTTTTGTTCCTACACTGTAGACCCTCTATGGAGTTCTTGTATCCCACAACTTTTGTATCTCACAACTTTGCTGAACTCTCTTATCATTGCAATAGTTTGTCTGTAGATTATTTTGAATATCTGAGTTGATAATCAAGTTATCTAGGAATAACAACAATTTAATTCTTTTTCTCTTTTCTAATCCTTTACTACTACCTCTTCTGTTTTCCTATTTTGTCGAGCTGGCAAAGACGGTTAGTATATTATTATATAGAAGCAATGATGGGAGTCACCTTTATCCTGTTCCTGCATTTATTTTTATTTATTTATTTATTAAGAATATTCATGAGATACAAAGCTAATTGTTATCCCTTGTGCCCATGATGTGAAGGCCAGATTCATACTGGGGGCATACTGATTACCAGAAATTTCTTTTCTACCTTGTGTCCCCACCCAATTAACCCCCAACCTCCCTCCATCCCCCTCTCCTGTTCGTGCATTTAAGGGGGATGTTTCTAGTATTTTACTGGTTCTTTCTTTTTCTCTCTTTCTTTCTCTCTTTCTGCAAAATGTTGGCAGGTAACTACATGGGGTTAATTGTGTTTCTATTTCAGTTTTTTTTTTTTTTTTTTTTTTAAAGGTGACCGGTAAGGGGATCTTAACCCTTGACTTGGTGTTGTCAGCACCATGCTCAGCCAGTGAGCGAACCGGCCATCCCTATGTGGGATCCGAACCCGGGGTCTTGGTGTTATCAGCACCGCACTCTCCCGAGTGAGCCATGGGCCGGCCCTTCTATTTCAGTTTTGCTAAGAGGTTTTTTTTTCAAACAAAAATTAGAATTGCTGAATTTTTTCAAACACTTTTCAGCATACGTTGAGTCTTCTTTAATCTGTGAATGTGGTGACCTACTTTAATAAATTTTTTTAATGTTACAGTATTCTTGCATTCTGGAGATAAACCCTGTTTGATTGTGATATACCATATTCACTAATTCTGAAATGCACATTTTTCACATTTTAACATTTCCGTAATTAGAATATGTTTTACATTCAGTGACATCATCTAATTGCTGTTGCTTGAATTTGGTCACCTGTAATCCCTTAGTGTTTTAGTCAACACCATTTAAAGGGCATTTGAGGAAGGAATATGTATCTTGGTTCTTGTCTGAAAACTTTCCATTGTCATCTTCTGGTAAGTTAAAGAAAACTTTAGCATCAAAACTTTCAAAATGTGTGTTCAGTAGCTTAGAAGAAAATACCAGAGATAGTAGTAGAGACTTTTTTAGTGAAATATATTACTGCCTTTTGATGGCAAGAATAAATATCAAAGACTCTCAACTGAAAAGTGATTTAGAAGATTTGAATTCTGAATATGAAATTTTAAGAGTATCTTACCTTACTTATTTTGCCTATGTTTTCCTTGATTTGAATGCATAAGAATGATATACAATAAAAATCTGTGTAAATAAGTTTAAAAACCTCCTTCAGTAAGTATAAAATAAAATACATGAGAAATAAGAAAGCATATGTCATGGTTGAAGTGACAGCATTTTTCTTTCTTAGAATATAAAGTAATGGTGCATCTTATAATCAGTGACATTTTAGATTCAACAAGATATGATATTAACATTTTATACATTGGTGGACTCAATGCTAATATTTATTTAGGTTTTTACATGTGTTCATAGAAGTATTGGCCTGTGATTTTACTTGTTCTACTCTCTTTTTCTAATTTTGGTGTCAATGATATATTAGCCTCATAAAATGAGTTGGGGAATTATTCCTCTTTTTCTTTGGAATGATTTGAGTCAGTAAGATGGAAAATTATCTGTTTCTTGATAGGTTGTTCTGGGCCTAGGATTTTTTTTAAATGAAAGGGATAGATTTTTGACTACTGATTCAATTTTCTTCATTACTTAGGTCTCAGATTTTTCTATTTCCTTTTGAGTGTGTTTTTTTTTTTATACTTTTACAGAAATCTTTTATTAAATGATGCTTTTTCCCTTAAAGTCTTATCTTGTTTTATATTTCTCTAGTGATGCTGGCTCTATTTTGGTGAGGGAGGTGAGGAAGGGACACTATTTTTGTGGTATATTTTTTCCTATACTTTTATTTTCTTTGTTTTCATGTTTTAAGTATGTCTCTAAAAACAGCCTATAGCTAGATT